CCTTCATTTTTTTGATGTTACTGGCTGTTCAATATAATCTTCCTGAATGTCTTCCACATCCGTATCATATTCCGGATCTGGTTCATAAGGTGCAGAATATTATTTTGTAAAAAAACGCTACCGCACATACTTTAAATAAAAAAAAATAATTTACCGAATCTACTTCTAAAAATGTTTTTTGTCATATCAAGGTATGTATAGGTACTCCAGATCTCATTCAAATCATAGTAGCGGTTACTAAAATATCTTAAAAAATGTGTATATTTTTTTAAAAGTTGATGCCGTCTAACGGACACAGGCGGCACTTTTGTATAGAGATAAATTGTGTCCAATTAACTTATTTTGACACCCTGTATATTAGGACCAGCCAGTGTATTTTTATAATGTTGCTGTGATTATGTTTAAACGCTGCAACTAAAGCAGAAATTATCCAATAAACAAGTAATAATAAAATGTAGATGACAGCTAATCAAAGCTGTAGCTGAGTGGCGACGATCGAAATATTTTAAATAATATCGTTCAAAATATGTAATTAACCAGTATGTTTCTTATCATTTTTTATTTATCCCGAAACCTAAACAGGTCTGAATAACTCGACCTCGTATGTCCATACCACAACAGAGTGCCGATTTACAAAACCAGAAAATACAGATCCATGTTTTCGAAACGGCTTTGCGAGCACCTTGCCGATTTTCGCGGAACTTTGACTGCCGGCCGTTGCGTTTTTCCTACCGTCCAAAAAGTCGTACCGTGGTCATCTTTTGGTCAGTGGATCCTGCTTTTAAAAATGCCCTAGAAGTGTGCGGTCCAGCCGCAAAAACTAGTACCGGTCGCGAGCAGCGACCGAAGATCTGGTCGGGTACGATTAGCAAATTTATTTGGACCGATGCGCGCATCTGTTTCAGGAAAAACAACCTGAATGGTGGATTTTTTGACCATTTCTGAAAATAAAAATGATAATAATTAATATAATCCGGCTCTGAAGAATACTAAATAAATCAAGTTTTTATAGATATAGTTTTTTAGACACATTACACCCATAGATCAGAGCACATAGAAATATCAAAAATAATGGTTTGCATATTTAAAGAAAGTAGTGCTTGGTGAATCAAATAGGTACTCTTAAATAAGATATTGGATTAGATTTTAAAGTGGCTATTGGTTTATCCCACTGTCACCTTTATAGAGCTGTTGTCAAAATTATCATCGATTGTCATTCCCCAGCCGTCTTAGACGCCGTTTTTTTTCGATCTTATGATGATCATCATCATTACCATTTTCAGCTTATTCAACCATTTCAAATTATGGTGCAGCTTTTCTCACAGATACTCTCTATGTAGGCCTAATGTAGTCTATTGTTGGTTATGCGGGCTCTAATATCATGGCCCCATCTCAGGTTCGGTCTTCTTCTAGGTCTCTTAATTCCTCGTGGGTACCATACTGTAATTTTTGTGGTCCATCTGTTGTCCGTTCTTCTTGCCAGGTGTTCAGCCCATTGCCAGTTGAGGTATTTGATTCTGTGAATGACATCTATTACCTGAGTCTTTTGTCGTATCCATTATATTCTTTTATGGTCTTTCTTGGTTATTCCCAGCATATTTCGTTCATTAAGTTATGCGACCTGCAGTTTCCTTATAATACCCATTCTAAGTGTCCAGGTTTTGCATACATTGGTCATGACTGGTAGTACACATTGGTTGATTGTTTTCTTCTTTAGATAAAATGGCAGTCTAAATTTGAATATAATTGAGTTTCTTCTATAAGTACTCCATGCTAAGTTAATTCTTCGGTTGATTTCTGGTAGTAGAGATCCTGAACTGTGTATTAGTTGTCCCAAATATATATATTCTTCTACTATTTCCAGTTTTTGTTATTTATTAGAATGTTTTTTTTTGTCTACTAGTTCGTTGTACATTACTTTAGTTTTTGCTAAATTCACTTTGAGACCTACACTATATTCTTTTATGGTCTTTCTTGGTTATTCCCAGCATAATTTCGATCCATTGAGTGTTATGCAACCTGCAGTTTCCTTATGATCTCCGTTTTAAGTGTCCAGCTTTCGCATGCATAGGTCTATCATCTTATGAATTAATATATTAAATTTCCAATTAATATCAATATAAAATCTTGTATAACAACACATATAAAAACAATAAATGCAGAATGATTGTATTAGAAATTATTTTATACAGGATGTCAAAAAATAATGTATCTAACTTTAATGGGTGATTCTACGGATAAAAATAAGACAAAAAGTTCCTCTGAACATATAACCTAAAATGCTTCCCGAGAAACTTACAGCCCTTGAAAGGGTAAATATAAATAATATATTTTGTTTATTCTTAAGAGCATTGGTACGTCTTTTTTGAAATTTAGTACCCTTACACACATTTGAATGTCAATGGCGATAGTGTAAAATTCCGTGACAGCCCTGAAAGGGTGCTTTCCATTAGGGTAGCATGTAGTACTGGTGGTACTTCTTTTATCCATATAGATACAGTAATTTCAACAAATGATAGATGAAAAACTAGGGCATTTTTTACGTAAAAAGGTTCTTGCCATACTAGAGCCGTTCGGTATACAAGGAAGGTAATGTGGCTATAGCACTACGCTTCAACCGCCTATAATTACCTCAGGATTGTGAATCCCAAGTACTCATTTAAGGCTGAGTCGACCTAGGTACCCAAACTATTTTTATAAAAATAGTCGGCTGATGAAATGCCGGGTGTGGGATTCGAACCCACTACCTTGAGATTGGTAGACAAGAGCCAGTACCTCTACGCCACCGGGCACCTTATTCACAAAATCATGGGATTAATTTCTTATTTCTTTATATTTTATCATTTTGCTAAAGTTAAAATCGATACATCGTAATCTTTAAACGTAGATATCTTGAAAACCGTGCACCTTTTCGAACTAAACGAAGAGCACCTGCTTTACATAGTAGTTCTAGCTTTTTATATAATTTGTTGAAATTACTGTATCTGTTAAGTGCACAATCGTGGCAACATAGTTCACAACGGCAACGATGCGTGGTGTGTTTTCCGTAGAGTCAGGTACCCCTGCTGGATGTAGGGCGAAAAATAGGACAAAATAGACCATATGTGTCACAGACCCTTTTTAGTTTTAAGTGATTTTTAAGATCAAATTTAGTATTCATGGTAGAAACGTCGACTGTAACTGTTTGAGAATAAAATAGTTTTGTTAAGTTTAAAAGGATTAGTTTATTTCCGAGTTTATTTCACAATCAGCGAGGCATTTACATACATAACATTTTGGTCCTTCGAGCCGGATATAGAGATTTATTAGTGTGAATAAGTTCGGATGGTTTTTAATTTGGGTTTTCTAATACAAGGAACCTAATCTACAATAATTTAACGAAATTACTGGTGGCTTTGGAGCACTCTGCAGTTTACAAAATACAGGAACAATACAGGCACAAGGCACAAACTGTGAGTACCGATATTCCTTTCTTTTATATATTTTCCAACGATTTAAGCACTATTTTATTTGAACACGAGTTTTTAAAATACATTACTCATTCGTATATTAATTAACGCATTAGTATCTATTTTTGTTATAATCATGGAAAGGTTAGATTTGGCTGATTTAATTAAAAAAAGGGGTATTTTAAAGGCTCAATTATCGCGTTTTGGGATGTTGTTGGAAGATTTAACATCGGATAAATTAGAACAAATTAATATTTTCAATTTTATATCGAAAAACAAGATGGGTCTTATGAAAAAGAAGATGAAAGGGTTACTTTTGAAAATTTGTATTTCGATTTGGTTTCAAAAGGGAATTTAATGTTAGAAGAACAAAAATCTAGTGCTACACAATCTATACAGCAACCGATCGTGACAGGGTCTACAGGGGAGATGCATTTAGCGCCAATTAATATTCCAAAATTTGAAGGGTCCTATTTAGATTGGTTTAATTTTAAGGAAGCATTTAATTCAATAGTCGATAGCAATACAAAGTTGAATACTTTTCAAAAGTTTTATTATTTAAAGGGAGCTTTGGTTGGTCAGGCAGCTGAGCTAATAAGTAATATGCAAGTTACGGCTAATAATTATCAGAATGCTTGGGACTTATTAAAAGATACATACGAAAACGAAAAAATAATTGTTTATAGTTATTTAGAGGCGTTATATGATATTCCGGTCACATTATTAAGGAATCATATGAACAGTTAAATAATTTTTTAAACGAAATTAGGAAAAATCTAAGAGGTTTAAAAGCATTGGGGCAAAATGTCGACGCTTGGGATACTATTTTAATTTTCAATTTAGAGAAAAAGTTAGATTCGGATAGTAAGAGATCTTGGAAAAGGGAACTGGAAATCAACGAATTTCCCACAATGGAAAATTTTTTAGAATTTTTATCACACAGATGCAAATTAATTCAACCAAATAAAAATATTTTACAATCCAAGATTTCGGAAAATAAAAGTACAGTAAAATATAAGTCAAGAGCGTCATTTGTTTCTGAAAAGGCTGTTTGTATAGTGTGCAAGGCACAAGAGTACCATCCATTGTATGCTTGTAAAAAATTTATAGGGTTACCATTGATTGAAAAAAGGAATGCGGTTGAAAAAAGTAAGGTTTGTTGGAATTGTTTACATGCAGGTCACAGAGTTCAGACTTGCCATTCACGGGGTTGTTCACATTGCCACAAAAGGCATAATTCATTATTACATGGGTAAATTCGGGAAAATTTAAACAGGGAAGTAGCTATGACGGGTAATAATGCTACTTCTAAGTTAATTCGGATCAAGAAAATTCAGACAGGGACTTAAACACGGCTAGTTCATTGGTGTCAAGCAGGTGATTAAAGGGAGAGGTTTTATTATCTACCGCTTTGGTAAAAATTAAGGATTACAAGGGACAGGTACACACAGTTAGGGCACTTTTAGATTCAGGGTCACAATCGTCATTTACGGATTTATTAGGACAAGGGACTTGCAAAACAAATTAGGCATGACACTAAAAAAGATTAATATGACGAATTTGGGTATAGGAGAAGGAATAACTGAAATTAAGCATTATGTTGACTGTAAAATTTATTCAGCAGGGGAAAATTTCAGTATGATGAATACATTCTTAGTTATTAATAAAATTGCGGATATTATTCCTTCGGTTTCTGTAGATATAGGGAAAATAAACATACCAATTGGTATAAATTTAGCTGATAAGGCCTTTGGGGACTCTGGTAAAATTGATATTCTGTTAGGGTCTCGTATATTTTGGCAATTATTAAGCGAGGGACAGATATCCTTAGGTAAAGGGTATCCAAAAATACAAAACACAAAGTTAGGCTGGGTTGTGGTAGGACCTGTAGATTTTTCTAATGGCAGAACGAACACAAATCAATATTGTAAACTTGCAGTTAATACATTAGATCAGCAATTGGAAAGATTCTGGCAGCTGGAAGAATTTCCAATAAAAAGGAAGCTGAATGTGGAAGAACAGAAATGTGAGGACACATTTAAACAGAACACAGTCAGAAATAGAAGTGGGAGATTTGTAGTAGAGCTTCCTACAAGGGATAGTCCAGAAGTCTTGGGAAATTCTTTAGGAATGGCTATTAATAGGTTTGGTAAATTAGAAAAACGGTTCACAAGCCAAATATCATTCAAGGAAGAATATTCGCAATTTATGAGAAACTATTTGGATTTGGGTCATATGACCAAGGTAGGGGATTTGCCAATTATCTATGAGTCAGAAGAGAATACCAAAGGCATGTATTATTTACCACATCATGGAGTATTAAAGGAAACATCCACAACAACCAAACTGCGCACTGTTTTTGATGTTAGTTCTCCTGCTGATAATGGTGTATCATTAAATAATATCTTGATGGTAGGTGCTAAACTTCAGCAGGATTTGTTCCAGATTTTAATTCGATTTAGGCAACATCAAATAGTTATTTCTGGGGACATCGAAAAAATGTATAGACAAGTTTTAATCAAGGAGAATCAAAGAGATCTACAACGCATTCTATGGCGATTTGACACCAGTGATCCAATAGGGGTTTACAGATTGAATACTATAACATACGGAACAGGACCAGCTGCTTACTTGGCAGTGAGATGTCTAACGCAATTGGCTCATGATTATGTTGATGTCTATCCCATAGCATCACAGGTTATTTTGAGGGATTTTTACATGGATGATTTGCTAACAGGGTCAGATACAATTCAAGATGCTATAAGGTTAAGGAAAGAAATAGACACAATCTTAAGAAGCGCAGGGTTTATTTTAAGGAAATGGATGTCTAACTACAAGGAGGTTTTAGATGGGGAAACAAGTGACATTGAGCAGTATATTGTTGAGGATGGAGATCAACATAAGACACTGGGGTTGGGATGGAATTCGAAAACTGACCTTTTATATTTTCAACTAGGAATGGAGATATTGGACTACAATCTGCAAAAGGTAACCAAAAGAAAGATATTATCTTTGGTGGCTCAGATATTTGATCCGTTAGGTTTGGTAGGTCCAATTTTAGTTAAGGCAAAGTTAATTTTACAAGCATTGTGGAGGTTGACGTTGGATTGGGACGATGAAGTACCATTAGATATTAAAATTACTTGGGGTTCTTTTCAGAATCAAATAGCAGCATTAAATAAATTACATATTCCAAGGAAAACGGTTTGTAAAGATTCTGTAGGTACGCAGTTGCATTGTTTTTCAGATGCTTCTGAATCCGCTTACGGGGCATGTGTCTATTTACGATCACAAGATGAGTTTGGGAAGATTACATGTCGGCTGATATGTTCTAAATCAAGGATTGCACCTTTGAAGGTAATTTCACTGCCGAGATTAGAGCTTTGCGGAGCATTACTTGCAGCAAGGTTGGGTGCTGAAGTTTAAGAAAGCCTAAAATCAGAGCCTGATAAAACTTAGTTCTGGACTGATTCAACGATCGTGCTGTCCTGGTTGCTAGGGAACCTATTCAATGGAAAACTTTTGTAGCAAATAGGGTTACAGAAATTTTAGAGCTTACCAAAGAACATCAATGGCTTCATGTGCGCTCAGAAGAAAATCCAGCTGATATAATCTCTAGGGGCATTGATCCAGAACAATTACTAGGATGTAGGATTTGGTGGGATGGACCAACCTTTTTGTACAAGGATACCAAACAATTTGAGGAGATAAAGTCCATTGCATTGGTTGATATGCCGGAAGTTCGGGTTCAAAAACAAATTTTTATAGGCACTGTAGCAGATGATATATTTTTCAAATTTTCAAGCTTCTCTCGTATGGTACGAGTCGTAGCATATTGTTTACGCTTTAAAAATAACTGTCAAAGGCAAAGGTCGAAAATGGAAAAGGTGCTTGGACATTTAACTGTAGATGAGCTGCAATATGCTACTTATACCCTTATTAGATTAGCTCAAGCAAGGTATTATCTAGCGGAAATTAGAAGTTTAGAACAAGGGAATATTTCTAGGGGTAGTAAATTAAAATCATTATCTCCATTCATTGATAATAACAGGCTATTAGGAGTGGGGGGTCGTTTATCATGTTCGGAACTAAATTTTAATGAAAAACGTCCAATCATATTGCTCAATAAACATAAAATAACTAGGCTAATTATACTTAATGAACATTACAAGCAATTACACCAGGGTCCTCAAGCTCTTCTTGCAACTATACGACTACAGTACTGGCCGATTACAGGACGTCGTATATTAAGGCAGGTTTTAAGTAAATGTATTTTATGTTTTAGAGTTAGACCGAAAAACTTTAACGTAGCAATGGGTAACTTACCAAGGGAAAGGGTGGTTCCAAGTAGACCTTTCACGAATTGTGGTATAGATTTTGCGGATCCTTTTGAAATAAAACCGAACAAATTAAGAGGAAATAAAAGGATTAAGGTTTATTTGTGTGCATTTGTGTGCTTTGCTACAAAAGCGGTTCATTTAGAAATTGTCAGCGACTTAAGCACTACAAGTTTTTTAAATTGTTTTAAACGATTTATAGGCCGCAGGGGTTTATGCTCTAATATCTATACAGATAACGGAACTAATTTTGTCGGTAGCAGGAATGAATTACAAAATGTATATTCCTTTCTACGCGATTCTAAGACCCAATCTTCTTTTTCGGATTATTTTGTTGATAAAGGCATTCGGTGGCATTTTATTCCTCCCCGATCGCCGCATTTCGGGGGAATATGGGAAGCGGTAATTAAATCTGCTAAGTATCACATTAAGAGGATTGTAGGCTTACAAGTTTTAACATACGAAGAGTTAGAGACTGTTGTTGTGCAAATAGAGTCGTGCTTAAATTCGCGACCTCTAACTCCTCTCTCCGAAAATCCAGATGACCTCAATACCCCTGGGCACTTCCTAATCGGCACGTCACTATCATCATTGCCTAAAACAGATTTGCAAGATATCTCTATAACTAGAGTTAAACGGTATGAGATGCTCATTAAAATGGTGCAACGTTTTTGGAGTAAGTGGAGCAAGGATTATCTTACTCAACTACAACAAAGGAATAAATGGTTTTGAGTCCAACAACCAGTTGAAGATCGGGACAATGGTTATCATCAAGGAAGCCAATTTACCTCCATTGTGTTGGCGTCTAGGCAAAGTGGTGGAACTTCATCCTAGAAAAGACGGGAAGTGTCGGGTAGTGTCGATAAAGACGTGCAAGGGTGTGACCAAGCGAGCTTTTTCGGAAGTGTGCATTCTGCCAATGGAGTGTGACGATTGAAAGACCATGCTTTCAAGGGGGCGGCATTTTAAGTGCACAATCGTGGCAACATAGTTCACAACGGCAACGATGCGTGGTGTGTTTTCCGTAGAGTCAGGTACCCGTCAAGTGCTGGATGTAGGGCGAAAAATAGGACAAAATAGACCATATATGACACAGACCCTTTTTAGTTTTAAGTGATTTTTAAGATCAAATTTAGTATTCATGGTAGAAACGTCGAATGTAACTGTTTGAGAATAAAATAGTTTTGTTAAGTTTAAAACGGTTAGTTTATCTCCGAGTTTATTTCACAATCAGCGAGGCATTTACATACATAACAGTATCTATAAGGACAAAAAAGTACCACCGGTAGTACTCTCTACCCTAATGGAAAGTACCCTTTCAGGGCTGTTACGGAATTTTACATTATCGCCATTCGCTTTGGCATTAAAATGTGTGTAAGGGTACCAAAGACATTATAAAGATAGACCGAACATCTCATTCATAAATACTCGTTGGAAGTGTATCAAACATTCCAATGTGTCAAACAAGGACGGAAGAGACAGAGAAGTCTAAAATTTCCGACCCCGGCAACTAGGCGCATTTGGATTGTTCTAATGGCCAGTGGCGTATCGTTTTTTGGAAGGAATTTAATTAGTAAAGTAAAAGTAAAGTAATTAGTAAAATTTTTACTCCATATTAATATACTACGTTAACAGTTTTTCGTCAGATGAGTTTTGCTATAAGGTCTAATATAATAATATAATTAATATCCCATATAATACTTATGTTGAAACGTTAGTAGGTAGTTTTCGAAAATCGCTCCAACGTCGATTTTCAATTTAAACTTTCAGTTACTTCTATATAAACTTTCAGTTACTTTTGAATATTTACAGGGTGACCCAAGTTTCTGAAACAGTTCTATATTAGGTTTGTGGTTGGTGACTTTTCTTTCAATTTTTTTTTTCAGAATATGGAGGCAATGGTAAGGCACATTTTAGACATTCTTGTAAACATAGGTGGCCGGAACATATTTTCAAACTAAAGTTGTAGATTTGCCGTTAAATTTCCATTCCAGAAATACCTAGGGTTGGCACCTGTCCTTTTTTGAAAAGGACAGTCCTTTTTTAGAATAACTTGTCCTTTTGACTTTTTTTGACTTAAAAAGATGATCTTGTAAATGTAATCTTGTAAAATGTAACAGTTGTTTAATCTTGTATTATTAATAACTTCCTATACCTAAAATCAATATTTTATGAGAAAATTGTGTTTTTTTGAAAATATAAGAGAAGATTTGACTTTCGGTCTTCTTCTTGTATTATGAATAATACTTATTATGAATAATATCTTGTATATATCAATTACCTTTTAGTCTCTCAATAGAAGGCATTTATCATTAAAAGTATCAAATCTGTGTGCTACAGTATGGAATTTCTGTCGCATAATAATGAATATTACGTTTATTTACAAACCCATTACTTTTAAAGGTAGCTTCATCAGACAATCAAATTTTAGTTAAATGTCTCAATCTTTATGAACTGTATTATGCATATGTATTGCGGTTTGAATCACCCTGTATATTGACAAAAAAATATTTTGAATATGTGCGTTACAATGGCCCCCATCTTATGTAAAAAATTGAAATAAAAATCACAAACCAAAAACCTAATAGGTAAAAAGCTTTTTTGGAGGCCTGGGTCACTCTGTATACAGATATGTATAAAACTAGTAGTCTAAAAATTATTTACAGTTCGTCCCATTCTAAAAAAAAGATAAACACACCGTATGTAAAACTTGGAAAATAAGTTCGTCATAATAATGCTTTTATTTATTCACTATTCTAATAAACAATATGCATTCCTTCGAAAACTCTCTATTTATTTATTTGGTAATGCTAACACACTCTATTTGAAAGTCGATTAGAGAAAATAGTATGATTCATTGGCAAGCGATGTAAATATTTGTGATCAGGTAAAATTGTGATGTAAGAGGAGGCTTAGCTCGGAGGCGGCAGGTCAGTCAGTTGTTGATAGGCCGGCCGGCTGTGTAGTGTTGTGTTTTGTCAGAGAGCTGACAAATGGAGGTTGCGAGTCTTTTGACTAAAATAGTTGCAAGTCGTTTGACTGTAAGCCAACGGGGTCGTTTGACCACGGTAAGAAAACCTCTGTGACGTCTTGCCTTCGAGTTGGTCTTGAGAGTTTGAGGTCTCCATAATGTCTTCTCGATTGACGATGCGGCGTTGAGCCACCCAAATAGCTTATTCGATTGGGATGCGAATCTGTTTAGCGGCAGAATTGCGTCCGGGGGAAGCCCCTATACTATTTCAGGTGACACTAGCTAGTTGTTGAAGATTATTAACCAATAGATCCGAATAATATTTGAATTAGATGGAAGATATGGAATGTGATATATTGAATAGAATATCAGTGATGTCAGTGGCTAGGGGGCGGAGTACCCCCGGGTGAGTCTTACTATTTAACTATCAATTTTATCCAGATCAGTAAATGTTTGTTTTGTTATTTTCATGTACAATGAGAGAGTGCTTGCCAATGACCAACTAAATGGATATTTGAGGTGAATTTGCATTGTGAGACCCGGTTGAGTAAGCCCCAAAAATACCGATTTTACACGTACAAATAACTCTAGGAAGAGGTATTTGTACGGCGGTAAAAAATTGTCTAAACAAGGCCGAAGGGGCAGATATAATAAAGCAGTAAAATGTAAAAAAGGTCGGGTAAACACCTTTGTTTATTTGTTGAGCAAAATTCCTTAGAATATCGTATATAATGACCAAAATATGACGCAATTTTAAGAAAAAAATGTCACTTTCTGGCTTATAATAAAGTTTCAAATGCAATGTTTATATTCAAATTTGTTATGATCTACAACAGTTAGCTAGTAATTGAGACGAATTATAATTCAATTACCGGCTACTACGTTCTTGTTTTAATAGATCAAAATTCAACAAATATAATTAGAAATTATTTTAATTGTGAGAGGCTCCCTTGTGGGACGCCTATGTACGATTACAGCGCGGCGGAAACAATACCTACCTGTGAAAAGACAAATTCGGGTAATTTGAGCTTATTTTTCCACACACTTGACACTGTCGTACCATATTGAAAATTCGCAGATTCAATAGTACGTTAAACAAAAACAAAAACTACTGAAAAACACTGAAAAGTTCACTTTGGACTTGATTGCGACTTCAAACACACCGTAAGCTAAACGTAGTACCACAGCTTACAGAATAATATAGCTTGGACACTCGCCAATTTTTCCCACGCTCGAATTTAAAACGCCCCACTCCGACGATGCGCTAACTGATTTAAGCGACCGACAGTCAGCCTCATTCAGTCGATGCATAGCCTCCACCTGTGGCGCGTAGGGCCGTATTACGGAAGATTTTAATTCGATTTTTTTTCTTATATTTAACCATAGGTATTTGTGCTTTTATTTCAATTTTATTTGTATTGATGGAATGGGAAAAGGTTTTCCGGGATGTGCGGCTGCTGGTTGCACAAATAATTATGGAAATAATTCAAAATATAGTCTGTTTAATTTTCAATTCAATTCAAAATTAATGTTCAATTCAAAAGTATATTCACACTTTAGTGCTTTTCAAAACGATGAAGACTACTTATTTGGAGGCTTGCTAATGCCAAGTGACCATTTTTTTATTTAGTTTCCTCATTGGAGGCTAGTTTTATAAGCTTTTATTTAACTTGCTTTGTATGTAACTATCTATGTATGTATGTATGTTTGTTCGGGGCAAATCTTGTAAGCTAAATTAAAACCACTTCCTTTTATTGTAGGAGATTGAAATTTGGCATGTAGGTTCAGTCCCGATGACAATACATTTTTTTGCAAGGCATGACCCGAATTTTTGACAGCTGTCAAAATGGCGGCATTTTTGAGGTTTTTGATTTTTTAAAATTCTATTTATGAATGGATCGGGCTGAAATTACAGTTACTTATAGGGAAACAGAATGGCAACACTGCCTATTGAGAACGTAGGCATTATTGATTTTTCTGCCGACTCGTCCCGTCGCGTCGTCTATCGACGAGCGGGCCGAGGTTATTTCAACCATAAAACTCTTGCCGCGAGTAATGAACAATTTAACAACCTGTATAGGTATATTGTGGGTATATACATATGAAAAAAAATATATGGGCGGCCATCTTGAAAAAATGACAGTTTAATGACATGTCAAAATTTCAAAGTCAACCGATTTTCATAAAAATTGATATATAGGATGGCCATGGGCTAAAATGAAAGAAAAAAAATTTGAGCTGTCAAATTTGACAGCTGTCAAAAAAATTTCAAAGTTGTCCGATTTTGATAAAAATTGATATATAGGACGGCCATGGGCGAAAATGAAAAAAAAATGTTGAGCTGTCAAATTTGACAGTTGTCAAAAAAATTTCAAAGTTGTCCGATTTTGATAAAAATCGATGATGGCCGTGGGCTAAAATGAAAGAAAAAAATTTTGAGCTGTCAAATGTGACAGCTGTCAAATAATTTCAAATTTGTCCGATTTTGATAAAAATCGATATATTGGATGCCCCCTACCCCATAGTCGGTTTTCATTTTATTTGTCTCACATTTGAACTGTCAAATTTGACAGCTGTCGTTTTTTTTAAGTTCTCCTTTTTTAATGAAAATCGATATACATATTATTAGGATACCCATAGAAAGTTATTTAAGAAAAAAATTGAGTTTAAGTGTGTGGCACTGAGAAACCAGCATAACTAAAAAGTAGAAAATAAATTTTATAAAAAAACCTTTTTTAAAAACAAGCTTTTATTTAAATAC